TCAAGTATTTTGTGATGGATGTTTTATAGGAGTTCTATAAATAGGACTCTTCTTTGATGGATTCCCTTTTTTGTATAAAGGAGTAGTTTTTAACCTTGTGGGATGTATTTATTCATTTTATACACTATATTATATTTTATAATAAAATAATAATAATTTATTAAGCAATATTTAATGTTTGTAATTTTTTTTCCTCTGGGGAATTTTTATATATAAAAGACATATATACTATAGAAAACATATTAAAAGACATATACCCTACATGTACAGTACACTCACAGAACAAACATTAAAATGAGTCAAATGTTTCAAAGCTTTGAACATGATTTTTTCCCCTGTCATTAAAAGTACTTTCAAGTGTAAGGTCTATTGCATGCATGTTTGGGTGTGAAATTTAAATAGATCTTTAACTACCAAGCTCAGACAATAGCACTGGCCAGAAATGGGTATGCAAGTGTAGGGTTGAAAATGGAGATAAGTAATTAAGCGTTATATTTAGCATGAATCGCTTACTGTAATTGGTGTGTTTTGCCAGAAATAATGAGGTTTTCTCTATCATTCAAAAGCAAGAAGATGCATTTGTGTATGACGGTCAGAGTGAAGAGTCTTGAGGCCACTGTCAAACCATTGTGGTTTGTTCTGTCTATCACTTATGATAAATATGGTGCTCTGTGGTGGATTAGAGACTAGACCCCTATTGTCTGGCTAGCAGAGCAAATGATTGTATCGACATCCATCCTTATGGTTACATTTTTTCTCCATGGTGTAAACTTAACCTTGTCCTTAAGATCTAAGTAGGCCTTTAGCAAGGGAAGGATATATCTCTACAGACTGATTTTGATAAAGAAACAACATGCAGTGTGAAGGAGAGGGAGACAATCAAGAGGAAAAACAATGATATTCTGCACACGGAGGAATCAAGGAGCTAGAAGGGACGCTAGACGCCTCTGCCACCCCTGTCACTCAGAAACAATGGCTTTGAACTTTTTAAGTGCAGCCCAAGTGGCCTCTTTTCCTCTCAAAGAGACAGATATTGCTCTGATAACAGCCTCTGTCCGCTGGGCTTGATGGACATCACTGTCAGCGCAAGCTTAATTTGACCTTTCACAAGCCCCTCCACGCCTATGCCTTCACATTCCATGAGTTCTCTCACAAAATGAGAGAAAGCGATAGGCTTGGGCATTCTTTCGTTTTAGAACTGAACACATTGTCTATGATTTTATTAGGCAAAATCTCGCCTCTCCAGAAAGGCTATGCATTTGTATAGTCATTACTGTATATATTTGTGCATTTGTTCCCCACTTTTTTGCTGTGTGCTTTGGGTCATTGTCATGTTGGAAGGTAAACCTTCCTCCCATTGACAACTTTCTGGCAGAAGGCAGCAGATTTTCCTCAAGAATTTGATGGTATTTTGCCCCATTTATTTTTCCTTCTGTCCTGACAAATGCTTCAGTCCCTGCTGCAGAGAAACACCCCCATAACAGGATATTACCACCTCCATGCTTTACTGTTGGAATGCTGTTATTTGGATGATGAGCTGTATTGGATTTCCGCCAGACATATCGTTTGGTGTTGAGGCCAAATAATAAAATTTTAGTCTCATCTGCTTCAGAATCTTCAAGTGGTGCTTTTCCACTGCGTGGTACGACTCGGCACGGCACGGCTCGGTTTGCATTTCCACTGCAGTTTAGCATCGCTTTAGAGTGGGCGGGATTATTCACACATCGTTATAGTTGCGCCGCCTCTACTGCCGCGACTCCTGAAAAACTAGGTTTGTTTGAGATGCGCCTTGCCTCGTCTGAAATGAAGGCGAGAGTAGGAGGCTGCAGTGAGGGGAGGAGTGAAATAAGCGCAGTCAAGACGGACAGTTCTGACCTCTCAAATTCAAAACAGTTGCGTTCGATCCTTCGCTGGCTGTGCTGATTTAAATCTAGCGGTTCTGTTGTGTTTGTGTCGCAAGTTCAGTGACGCAGGTAGTGACGATTCTCTCCGGCCAATCAGTGATCAGCAGAGTTTACACATCACGTTTTGGTAATGGTACGGTTCACTTGGAACCTCAACTGAGGTGGTACTAAAAAAAGTACCAGGTATCAGGTACTGTACCCAGTGGAAAACCTCCCAAAAGTGAACCGTACCGTGCCGTACCATGCAATGGAAAAGTGCCAAAGGTGTGCTTTGGCAAAGCTCAGTCGTGACAGCAAGTGGCCTTTCTTGAGGAGTGGCTTTTTTCTTGCAACCCTCCTGTACAAGCCACATTTGTGGAGAATTTGTGATATTGTTGTCACATGCACACAATGACCACTCTTTGTCATAAATTCCTGCAACTGCTTCAGAGGTGCTTTAGGCCTCTTGGTCACCTCTCTGACCAGTTTCCTCCTGGCTCTTTCATCCTGTTTGGAGCGACGTTGTGATCCAGGGGAGGGTCTGTGTTGTACCAAATACCATCCACTTCATAATAATAATAGACTTCACTGTGCTTCTAGGCAGTGATAAAGCCATTGAAATGTTTTTGTATCCATCTCCTGACTTGTGCCATAATAAAAGTATTCTTAATTTAAACTGAAAAATGGATATAGGCAGATTTTGACGGTCTGTTTGGTTGTGTGATTCGATGCAATAGGACAAACACACACACACACACACACAAAAAAAACATTTTAATGATCTGCATATCAGTCCAAATCCACAGAGAGCTCAATTAAATATCTTCTGTGTGCTTCAATAATTGCCATAATTATATAGAGGTGGGAAAGGGCCAGATTTGTATTAAACATTCCTGCTTTAGGGAAATGTACCTTAGGGTAACTTTGTTGGTTTGACGGCTGGCGCTAAATTCATAGACTCGATTAGGACCATTCTTGGCAGAAGAAAATAGTTGGCATCTGTTCCCTTTTTTGTGTCTTTTTTTATTTTTTACACATTTTGGCAACTGAGGTAAAATATTAAAGCTTCATTTTGTGGAGAGCCATTGGCTGCCAAAGTCTATGATCTTGCAGCACGCTCTCGGAAGAGCTCTTGAAGAGGCACTCTCTTTAAATGGTGAATAAAGCCACTCTATAGAGTCAGAGTGTGTTTGGAGGGTAAGAGATGAGAGTGTATTAATGAGCTGAGGGAATCTTAAAGACAATATCCCACACACACAACATCACACGTGTGCTTTATTCATTGGCAAGGACATTTATGACTCTCTTTGTCATTAAAACACATAAAGCCATTGACACATCCTTTTAGAAAAGCATTCATATGTATGTGAGTGGACCAGCACTGAATAATCAGTAATGTGAGATAAAAGATGGCATTTTAAGATCACAATTGCTTCCTTCCTCCTCATTCCACTGCGTTGCATCAGAGACCCACTGATGCATACTTCTATCCAGGGCAGCTCCCACTGAAGAGCTGGTGCTACAACACGACCCGAGTTGGTAGTCGACAACCTGAAATGTCACAGATTTTCTCCGCCTGTGCATGATGTGAACTTTGAAAGTGGTTTGCACTTTGTGAAGTCTTTGAGTTTCAGGGAGATTATTTGTTACTGAGATTACCCTCCTGTACAAGCCACATTTGTGGAGAATTTGTGATATTGTTGTCACATGCACACAATGACCACTCTTTGTCATAAATTCCTGCAACTGCTTCAGAGGTGCTTTAGGCCTCTTGGTCACCTCTCTGACCAGTTTCCTCCTGGCTCTTTCATCCTGTTTGGAGCGACGTTGTGATCCAGGGGAGGGTCTGTGTTGTACCAAATACCATCCACTTCATAATAATAATAGACTTCACTGTGCTTCTAGGCAGTGATAAAGCCATTGAAATGTTTTTGTATCCATCTCCTGACTTGTGCCATAATAAAAGTATTCTTAATTTAAACTGAAAAATGGATATAGGCAGATTTTGACGGTCTGTTTGGTTGTGTGATTCGATGCAATAGGACAAACACACACACACACACACACAAAAAAAACATTTTAATGATCTGCATATCAGTCCAAATCCACAGAGAGCTCAATTAAATATCTTCTGTGTGCTTCAATAATTGCCATAATTATATAGAGGTGGGAAAGGGCCAGATTTGTATTAAACATTCCTGCTTTAGGGAAATGTACCTTAGGGTAACTTTGTTGGTTTGACGGCTGGCGCTAAATTCATAGACTCGATTAGGACCATTCTTGGCAGAAGAAAATAGTTGGCATCTGTTCCCTTTTTTGTGTCTTTTTTTATTTTTTACACATTTTGGCAACTGAGGTAAAATATTAAAGCTTCATTTTGTGGAGAGCCATTGGCTGCCAAAGTCTATGATCTTGCAGCACGCTCTCGGAAGAGCTCTTGAAGAGGCACTCTCTTTAAATGGTGAATAAAGCCACTCTATAGAGTCAGAGTGTGTTTGGAGGGTAAGAGATGAGAGTGTATTAATGAGCTGAGGGAATCTTAAAGACAATATCCCACACACACAACATCACACGTGTGCTTTATTCATTGGCAAGGACATTTATGACTCTCTTTGTCATTAAAACACATAAAGCCATTGACACATCCTTTTAGAAAAGCATTCATATGTATGTGAGTGGACCAGCACTGAATAATCAGTAATGTGAGATAAAAGATGGCATTTTAAGATCACAATTGCTTCCTTCCTCCTCATTCCACTGCGTTGCATCAGAGACCCACTGATGCATACTTCTATCCAGGGCAGCTCCCACTGAAGAGCTGGTGCTACAACACGACCCGAGTTGGTAGTCGACAACCTGAAATGTCACAGATTTTCTCCGCCTGTGCATGATGTGAACTTTGAAAGTGGTTTGCACTTTGTGAAGTCTTTGAGTTTCAGGGAGATTATTTGTTACTGAGATTATCGTGATGTGGATTCTCCTTTTCTGTCGACATGCGAGAGACATCCTACAATGTCAGCTCACACTGAGTACTGTGACATTTATGACTAATGGTGATGTGTTCAGGAGGAGGCTTGTTATAGATGACACATTTCCTCTCCTCTGATCTCTTCACAGGGACCGCCCAAGCCAGTTGCCGTGGAACCCTGTTCTGGGGCTAAAGCAGCAGTGCTCACAGTGCTAATGTACCTCCCAAGAGTGGCATCTGGTGTTCCTCCACCCGGCCAGTCAGGTCAGTAATTTCCAAAGGTGTCCTAAAATGTGTGCCCACTTTATATGTACCTTGTTTTACATGTAGCCTTTCTGAAACAGTAAGGCATGGTGGTGGCCACAACCAAGGTAATGGGTTTGATTTAGGAAATGCAAAGCTTGAATGCAATATAAGTCTTTTTAGATTAAAAGATAAAAGCATCAGCCAAATTCATTAATGTCTGATACCATTACTATATCATGGTGCACCACCTTGTTTTGCTCACAGATTATAGGAAAATTGAGGTAGAAGCATTATGCACCCAAAAAAAACTTATTATAATAATTTTTTTGTCACCAGAAGTGGCTGTGTCAGTTGAAATAAACCAAGTGGCTCATTGTTCTAAAATTCTTCTTAAGGATGTACCAGTATTAAAAATCATCAGCATCATATAAGCATCACCAACATCAATAGGACAAGAATTATTTTGATGCTGTGGTTAATATCACAATTCTTTACCTAAGTTATTTTGGCTAAATAATTTCAAAATAAAACACTAATGCTATAAGTGAAAGCTACAAATTACATTTAGGCATCACAATATTTTATGAAAAATGGGTATTAATTTTGACATTAACAGTGGTAATAAATTATTAAATAATTTTTTTAATTAATTTATAATTTAATTAATTGCTAAATTACTAGTGTTACTAACATTACAGCAATGAATTGTATAATTTTATTAAATTATAATAAAATTCATTATTAAATTATTAGTGTTGAAGATTATATTTTAAGTGAGCATTACAGCAACAATAATCTAAATTTAAAAATTGAGAAAATATAAAATCTCGAACCATACCGATATAGTAAACAAAAATCTCTAATATCCACAGAAAACTGATATTGTACTGATGTATTGTGCACCCCAATTGTTTCTACATGTTCTTTGGTGGTTTATCCTCCAAGTGTGCTTGGTAAGTTTATCCCTGGCATAAAATGTGACTGAAATTTAAAACTCTGACATGGTACATGCAGCTTCTCAGTTAATGTTTTATACTGAATTAACATGCCCGCTGCTCACTTAATATGTTGCAGTCTGGTTCTTTCCCCATGTGGGAATTAATTTCATGCAGGAAGTCAGTGAAGTTCTCTAGCGTTCCCCTGGTGGTCTGATGTAAGTTTGTCTGTGACTGCAGGTCATATCCTCTGACACCCTATGATTTACCCCAGTCTGAATGTCTCCTGTCTATAGTCTGAATAAAAAAGATCCAGTCTGTTACAACTTATTGGATCAAGAAAATCTGAGGAGATATTGCACCTCTCAGTGGCCTTTGAGACAAAGGATTGTCTTGTAACAAACAAGAAGACATTTATCTTTTACAAATGTACAGACAAAAAAATTATTGATTCAATAATAATGGTGTCCAGTTTCTGTATTTCTCCCCCCCCCCATCTTTGTCATTCACCTTCACCTGACAACACCTTTTCTGAGAGTTCGTACTGACACATCACACATGCATATATTTAGACAGCGGTGCTTTAAAAGCCATGTCAGCTTGAGGACTGTCTCATAGAACTCTGTCTGGCTTTGAAAACTACAGAGTGATAAGATTGGACTAAGAATAAAAACCTTTTACTTCCTCCTCTTCTCAGCAGGCATGTCAGTCAACATGCTGCTTTATGTTCGACTTCCTCCCCAGGAACTTGACTGATCTGGAGAAAAAAACAACAACTTTTGTTTCAATAAAGCATCTCTAATAGCTTCTCTTTTGTTTGACAAGCACAAAATAGAGGCAACAAATAACAGCACATAACAGCAACAACTGATATGCACAAAAAGAGTATTTTGGTGATATCTAAAGAAGTTGGATCTGTCGAGACTGAGCTTTGTTGTAATATCATGGCACTGAAAACTTGAGTGGCTGCTTGCTGGGCTGTTGAAGTTCGTCATGAGCACTTTTGGAGAGAGGTACATCAGATATAGAGAGAAATAAAAGGAGAGAGAAACTGAGGGGTAAAAATGCTGAGACTCTTCTGAATCAACAAAGAATATTTTTGGAGAGAAGCACAGGAGCTTCGTGTACAGATGTTACTTTGTCGTCAAAGAGCTTTGTTTTGGTTTGTCATTTTGGAAGTTTCACAGCAGGATGGGATGTGTAGGTGTTAGTCTGCTCGGATAAAGCAATGCGTCACCTGATCCTGATCTTGAAAACATGGTACTTTTTTTTTTTTTTACTGAAACAGCCTCCCACTCGACCTAGCGCTGGGACATGATAATGAACTCAGCCAACAGACAGCCGCTGATCGCTTCTAACCATATTGATTATATTCACAGATCCTACGAGATTTCCATGGTGCTGAAGGTCTTTCTCGTTTCGCGCCTGGCTAACAAAATCAACTGGATGTTTGCTCATTATATGCATGTGTGATCAAATAAGTGACCTCTTTTTCTTCTCATTGGGATTTCAGTAGGAAAACATGCATGTCTGGCTTTATATAAAATTAAATAATTTTTGTTGAAGCAATGTAAAGAAAAAATGTGGAGATATGTGCTTGTAGTATTTTATTTTATTTATTTTTTTATTGTATATTTTATTTTATAACTGATGATGAGTATATGTAGGTGGTCATTTCTTAATGTTTGGGTTTTTGACACTTGAAATTCAAGAATTTCTGAAGCCATTTTTGCAGCTCAGCAAGTTAGCAAACTTTTTTTATTCTAAAATCCTCACGATCTGACCCCTTTTTATTTTTTTAATCTAGCAGTTGTTGTTTTTTTAACTCTACTGACCCACCATTACTGGCTCATATCCGATCCTTTTTGACCTGAATGGTGAGTAGTTAAAGTTCATGCAAAACCAGTTCTAAAAGCACACCAGTAGTAGGCGTACACTGCACACTTCCCCAGAACTGTTCTGTTGACAGACGTGGAGTTTTCACATTCTTCCCTGAGGCCCAGGTGTGATGGGTAATAAATCGATGAAGGGCAGTGTGTAACTGTCTGAGGCTCAGGTTGTTCTTGGATGTAAATCCTCTTTGCCTGAACACTTGAAGCTCCGGCTTCACACTGTTGTGCTGAATTCAATTCCTTTTGCCCTGGCCTGTCTGAAGTAATGAATTGTTCCCCTCTGATAATTGTATTGCTTCAATAGCAGGAAGGGAGCAGTGCCAGACTAGCACAGACGTGGCCGTTGTGTTTGCAGGATGATTTGTGAGATGCTGCTTTGAAAAATGGCTTTGGGGTTGTGGCCATGGTTTTGACCACAGCAGTCCGTGACAGAATCCTGGTGTGAAACATAGGGTGCTGGGAGTCGAGCTCACTTCAAACCCCCATCCTAGAATGAGAGAAAGTGGCTACAGAAGAGAAAGGGATGCTCCTTGAAACCAGTGACCTTGACATTGAACAAGAAGTAGTTTCTTAGTCTTCCAAGGCATGTGTGGACCCTCTCCTTTATGTATGAAGAGTCAAAAATTGGTCTTTAAAAATGAACGAGCTGATAGTTGTTCTTTTGAAAGAGATAGCTTTAAGTTACCATTGTCCCTTTTTTAAATAACTTTCCTTTGACATGCAAATGAACCATTTTTGCTTTTGAATGCTCTCTGCGAGTCTGCACTGCTCCTCTCTGACCCTGAGCTTGCTTTGTTGTGTGTTGTCTGCAGGTATAGCCATCGCCAGCGCTCTTATCGACACGTCCCAGCAGAAGCCCATGGACTTCAAAGAGAAAAGCCAAGGCTTGAAGAACCGCAAAGCTCTGCCTCCCGCTCACCAGGGCACCTGTGTTTGAATCGTCTTCGGCCTCGGTGGGCTGTCCTTTACCACAGCGACCTCCTCTCTTGTGCTGCTTCAGGCAGACGGCGGCCTAGAGCGGCCCCATGTGAGGGGAATATTTAGGTGACAGAGTGCCCTCTATTTCCAATGCACATACACTTTACCTCTCCACGTCAATTGAACATCGTAAATAGATCTCGTCCGTTTCCAACGACCTTGCTTTCACCATCTGCTCAAGCTCAAACATTACAAGTTCGACTCCATCTGCACAAATCGACAGGCTGCTTCTTGATTCACCCAACTCTGGGCACCGTTGAGCCCTTTCCCTACGGCGATTTTGGTCTTCTCAAGGCCTTCTAAACATTGAGGGTCTCTCTAATGGTCTCCCATCAGCTGTATACCAAGCACAGATGTGCCTCTAGCATGGTTTGTACATTATGGACCAGAGTGTCTTTCTAAGCCAGAAGTAGCGTTCTGGTAGTCTCGGGGCGGTTGCCGGTTTTGTGTACGGGTTGCTCACCTATTTGTATGCTCGCAAACTAGACTTATGTTTTTGCTAAATTTTTAGCTATTTTGACATTTTATTTAAGAGATGGATTATAGAAATGCTTACCATGGCGTGGAAGCTATCTATTGTGTAAGCTAATGACGTTCTGCTGCTGATAGCCTCATGCTTGGTAAACTCGTGTTAGGAATGGATCACATCCGTTTTTAGCTAGATAGGTTTCACACATTTCATACTTACGCTCTTCTTGTGAAGACTTTGCATGGACCACTTACACTATGCTTGAAAATTTTGAACAGTTTGTGGGTTACGTGTCACACGAAGAACGTCTTCATGTCTTGAAATACCGTTAGCTGCACCATAATGTAGAGGAGACAGCTGGTGCGGGTGAAACCGAGTGTCAGTCGTAAATCGCTGAGATAAGTCGGACTTTAGTTGAGAGATGAAATCGTGCCTCGCTGAACTGACAAACCTGGAGAATTTACGGCAGAAGACACATGGCAACGTGTGCATAGTATTGTTAAGGAAATGCTAGGGAACTCTAGAAAAGCCCTTGATCTTCTTTATTTTTGTCGTTTTGCAGCGGTACAGATTTAAATGAGCAAAGACTCATAACTTTGCAGTAACGCTTCATCTCTTTATAATTAACTTTTGTATTCTTAAGTTTCACATATTGTGATCGTCAACAGAGGAAGATTTTGAGGAGACCAGCAGGTGAGAGTGTATTTAGACTTTCTCTACACTCAAGGACTGAGTCCTCAAGCAATGGGCTTTCTGAGAGCAGGTTTACCAGGACTCACCATGCAACTGGATCCGAATCTTCTGAAGTCCTCAATTTTGCTCTATATGATTAACGCACCGTTAGGACCGAGCCTAAGCCCTCCATGGGTAAAACAGGATGTCCAGGTGACTGTATTTTCCTCTGTGGCAACAGCAAAAAGTGTACAGCATCCTAATCATCACTCGTTTGCTTTAGATGGACTTCTAATGTGAATTGCTCTTTTTCTCTTCATGTAGCTACTTCAATGTTTTTGTTTGTATTTTCTGCTGGTTTTAATAAAGGATATTAAAAGGTCATTAGGTATTTTAGGTCCACCCTCTGTACGTGACGGTGATGAGAAATAATCATGTCTTTTACAATGTTTGTGGAAAAAAAGAAATGTTGAATTGTTTTTGTAACTAATTGATTCCTGTGTAATACCTCTGATTTGATTCTTAGGTCACTCATGTAACTAACTCAGTTCATGTTGGTGTCTGTTTTTAGGGCTAGTATAAAAACAGGGCTTCTAGGGCTAAACTGAAGCTGCTCATCTAGATTATTCTGGGCATTTTGAACTTAATTTACAGGTTATGATGTGTTAGGAATTTAGTTTTGAAGCTATTTTTTTTTTTTATCTTGAAGTGAGAAAGAGATTGTCACGCAGGAATTCTACAGACTGATTACACAGGAATCATCTCACTGTACCTGAGAAAAAAAACAGATTCATTCATCACTCAGTGCATATCATTAATCTTCATTGTATTTTACAGATGAATGTAAAAATAAAACACTTAAATATTCAGAAGTCCTTGGATCATTCCAGCGCATGTGAATATGCAGAGCTCGTCTCAAGGCTTTAACAAAATCAATCATTTGGTGGTTCTCGCTAGGATTCATTGCTGTTAGCATATACCCCAGTGTTAAAATGCTCATCGGTAGAAGATACACTGGAAATGTACAAATGGATACATTAATAATGTAATTACTGTGTGTCCTTTATGTGTAAAACCAGTTAGTCTCTATTGGCTTAATCAGTCAAATAAATGATAAAATATGTAGATATAATATGTCATGTCATTCAAAACACTTGAATCAATTATGTTCCTTGCTGATCACTAAGACAGTGTAATGTATTTGAAGAACCATGGTATTTCCATGTTACTCTCATAACTGCTGTGGAAAGAATGAATGGTTTACCAATGCTAAAATATAGCCAACTGTTTTTTGAAAGCTGATCTGATCTGAGCCTGTTATCCCTGACACGCAAAGCAAATATCTGTGTTCTGTAATACAGTTTTAGTGGCCCATTATTTTACCACAGTCAAGGGGTGTTAGGCAGCGATGTGAAGTGGATTGCCTAAAACCCACAGATTTGAGTGCCTTTGCTTTCATAAAATGGCAACAACAGCAATATGAAAAAAAATGCCAATGTTCAATTGATACAATTCATCCATCAAGTAGTTCATTAACCTAACTAGGCTTTTTTGCCATTGCCAAGCAACATAGCAATCATAGAGAGAGCAGCTTGGTGAATTAATACAAAATTCAACTAATGTCCTGTCACACAGTGTGTGTGTATTGAAATGGTTCTGATCTTGGATTCTGTCTGGTCACTACCACATTATAGATCTGATAAAATCCTCAAGATAGTAGCAATTATGATGCAAAACACCTTATAGTCATATCACTGCATGCCTCCCATAATGTATTATTTTTGTTGCATAGCAACGTTCTATTAATCTAAGGAGTGGTAAGACGCCACCTGTTTGCTTAATAATATAACATTTTGATTTACTGATATATTGAGATGTTCACAATATAGCACCAGTGTTGATATTAACTAAAACTATTAAAACTTTTGATTTGAATTTGAAATAAAAATATAAGATGGAAACCTAAAACAATTTTTTTTTAAAGAAAATTAGAAATGTTGCCTTGACAACTGATAAAAATAAGTTTACGTTGAAGCACTAAAATTAGTAAAACTGGAAAAAAAAGTAATTAATAAAATTGAAAACCGAAAAAATTTAAAAAGTTAATTAAAAATAATAAATGCTATAATAGTATATAAATAATTACACTGTATAACACAGCCACTCTTGCCATATAGCTTAATTATTAACGGAATACTTCCCGATTTATAATTTGATTCCATGGGCTATATTAATGTGCAACCATAAACTGCATATACAGTTAAGCTAAAACCTCTTGGCAAGAAATAAATAAGTTTATTATTATTAAATTTAACTTGAACATTGGTGTTTTATCGTAGGGGTTTTGCCACCACCAAGTATTAGGCCCCAATTTTTGTCATCAAATCAATCCAAAAATCTAAATCCAAAAATCACCTTCTGTAAAGATGAAGCATGGGCCATGGGTCTAAAACATGGTTCGTCCAGTCTCATTTTAAAGCCATAATGGTTTGATAATGTTACATTTCTAACCCAAATTAGGGTTGATACATGATGTGCAATGCATATTCTAGATCCCTGAAGGTTGTGCTGTTTCATATACACATTTTTTTTTTTCATCCGCCTCACTCTGACCGTCACCAGACCTGGCTAGTCACTCAGTCTGCTCAGGTAGGTGTGCGGCACAGGTTGACATAGACAGAATGAGCTGTCACAGCTGACTAATGCCCATAAAGACACTCAGGGGAGACGTATGGATAACTCTTCTCAGATCTGCTCGTGTACATGTGTTTTTCCAGCCTGCTGACGGGAGACAGCCGTAACATCACGCCATGTATCAAAGGCAGTGATGGATAAGCCTGGCTTGTTTTTGCATTTTCCATGTCAAAGTGTTCCTCACGGTCTTCTGGAAACCATTCGATACCAAGCCTACTCATTAGTCTCTGGTCAACGCTGCTTGAACTCATGATAACATTTGAATTTGTGATCAGCTGCAATCAATGTTGAAGTGATGACAGCATGGGGACTGTTAAAAGAAATATAAAATCACCCAACGATCCATTTTCCTCCTCCTTGTGCTCCGGACTCCACCCTTTGCCTATTTGTCACCTGATCCCATCCTCTGATGAGTGCTTGAGACGTGCCATTTCCATATGGATGAATCTGTCAAGATCAGTCGTTCAAGTCATTGGGTGGGGGAGTCATGGAGTGTGTATCCGGTGCAGCCGTAAATCTCTGGGTGTGTCAATGGATGAGTGCTGTGAGAGATGCCTCGTGCCTTTATTGCTTTTAGTTGGCAGGAAATGCCCAGTGTAAATCAAGGTGTCTGGCGCTAACATTAAGAGATATTAATGAGAGTGCGAGCCTGTTGGTGATACAGGAGGTGAGAGAGAATGAGTGATGGTTATGGATAAATCATTCATCCTTATGATGCCTGTAACACCGAGACCTGCAAGGAGGAGGATGGGTTTTACCAACACTGGCATGTGCTTCTCTGGGACACTTTATTTTACGTGGGAATAGTTTTCATTTCATTTATATGTGAACATATATGTGACCCTGGACCACAAAACCAGTCATAAGGGTACATTTTTAGAAAATCTGAAAGCTGAATAAATAAGCTTTCCATTGATGTATGATTTGTTAGGATAGGACTATATTTGGTCGAGATACAACTATTTGAAAATCTGGAATCTGAGGGTGCAAAAAAATCTAAATATTGAGAAAATCGCCTTTAAAGTTGTCCAAATGAAGTTCTTGGCAATGCATATTACTATTTCAAAAATTACGTTTTAATATATTTACAGTAGGAAATTTACAAAATATTTTCATGGAACATGATCTTGACTTAATATCCTAATAATTTTTGGGATAAAAAAAAATCAATAATTTCGACCCATACAATGTATTTTTGGCTATTGCTACCCCAGCGACTTAAGACTGGTTTTGTGGTCCAGGGTCACGTATAAGCATAGTGCTAAAAAAGGAATGTTCACAATTAAATATGGGATCAGTCTGTGGCATGCCATAAATTATTACACAAAATAATCTCTAATATTGTAAATAACATACTGTAAAAATGAAATAAATAATAAAGTAATAATAATAATAATAGTGAACACATTATCCGTAAATTTTATAATCTGCAGATTATAGAGTGCTGCACGGGTGATGTATTTTTGTAGGCCAAAACCTGGAAACAAGTTAGCATTTTTGAAATTGAACTTTTGAAATAATCAGCCGACACAAACCCTTTATGAAATTGTATGTATCAAATCCTGCTGACCCTGCAGAAGACATGAAAACTCCCTCTGAATTATCACCCTCATGGCATTATTTCCCTTCTGATGTCGGGTGATTTTTTTCTGCTCGATTGCAAATTAGACAGAGCTCATCTGGTCACAAAGCTGATGCTTGTCTTTCTGTATTCTAGACCCCTTAAAAGAAAGCTGGGCACATGGCACCGAAGACTATGCAGAAACCAGACATTACGCCTAATTGCCTTCGGTAATAACAAAGAGCCTCATATCTTCGGCTCCCCTCAGCTGTCCTATGAGTCACGTCCCTGTCCCATCTCGGTGTCCCTCTGCCCACTTCCATCCTAAGTTTGCTTTCAAGCTATGAAATAGCCCATGACTAATCATCATGTACTGCATGTTTGGTGCATTCTGGGCATAGGTCTAACCTTTCACCTTTCCACCCTCACATATGAAATATTTGACAAGTGGATTTAAGACTATAATCCTAATTTTAGAGGTCAGAGTTCAGAGATCACAAGTGACAAGCACATATGTCTTAGGAAACGACATGAAATTCATTACAAACAAGTTAGATATGGCCACACTTGGGGTTCTCGACTGACTTCTTGTCCCCTATGTATCCATCCATCCATCCATCTTTGTCAGTCCCTTTGCCTGATGTTAAGCAGTCAAAAAAAAAGATAATAAAATAATAATTTTTACCAATATGCAGTAGCTCTTGTAAAGAGTTTGAATAAATGGGATGCACCAATATAAAATTTCTGTCCAAAATCGGTAAGCCGATAAAGAATTATGGATTTTGTTTAATTAAATCAACTTCAATTTTTCTAAATAGATTAAAAATAAAACACTGAAATGAGTTGGTTAATTGCTAAAATCAAATTTAGGCATCACAACATTATGATGAGGTATGAAAAATTAATGGCATTCATTTTAAAATTAGCTAAAGATTACATTTCACAGTGTTATTAAAGGTTTAATATTCTAAAGATTAGCTTTAAGTGAGCATCAGGTAGAATAAATGAGCAAACACAAAACAAAAACCTATATGATAATTTATTGTGCATCCCTATTAAATATGGTGCAACACTATTCAGCACATTTAGCATCTGGTTAAGTCGGATTGTTACTGAATAACAGGTTTTTGTGTTGAAACCCCTCAAACTTGCATTCTAGTTCTTCTAATAGTTTCTAGTAATGTGAAAGACTTTAGGAGGTCTCACATCTTCTTGGTGTTATCAATGAATCAAATCACTAACCCACTGTATTACCTGTGCCCTTCTGTAGCTTTGAAGGAAATCAATAACAAACAGCCCCTGAAACCCTGACATTTACCACAAATAAGATAAAAAAGTACAGTCGTAAGTTTAGAAGTGTCACTTTTGTGGAATGGTACAAGAATTTTGAAATTATGTTCTCCAAAAAAAGAAAAGGTTGCCAGGCTCCAAGGTCAAGGGTGAGGTAATTAGATACCAGTTCCTGTCTGAGAGCAGACAGTACACACTGATTACATTGTTCTGCATCTTCTGTGCCTCTCTTTCATTTGAGGAACACAATTATTTTAGTCTTTCACTGAGGTTCACGTGTGGCTATGCTTGTTGTGTACAAAGGAGGTATTTTTTAATCAGTCTGGCTTTTTTATTCCAAATTTATATCAAACAGACCAGACACCCAGCTCATCAAATTTTCGTTTATTTGATACCGTGTCATTTGCTTTTCATTCCTGCTTCACAGCTCATATTGTGCTTGATGCAAATCTGACGCGTTGTGATCTCTTTCTTTCAAACAGACTCCACACTGACGCTACACTTGAGCGGTTATTAAATCTCGCCTCTCAGCTTTCCTTGTTTCCTACCATGCAAATTTCTCATAAATTCACTTTTTTTCCCCAATGCGACGCCGCTATTAAATCCTCTACCAATCTTTTGGAAAACATGTTCAATCATCATGTCTGAAGCGGTGGCTGGTGTCAAGAAACACCACATCCTAGTACAGCATGTTGAGTGAGTTCTAGGTGAACTGGGTTGCATCCTTGTGTGTTATTGTCCTGGGGAGAGTGGACTGATGTGATCCGACTGACAGTCATGCCCCCATTATCGCTTAATCCTGCCTGCTAGGAGTGAAAGTTAATCCAGCGTGATAAAATGGCCAAGAACAGTCAAACTAAGGTAACAGTTGAAGCTAAAGCATGTATGATGACAGCCAGGTAACCGGTGATTCAAACACAGCATTGGCTTCTACATCTCTTCTGTTAGTTAATGCATTAAGTATCATGAACTACCAATGAACATTTTTTTACAGTATTTATTCATCTAGATTAATTCAAATTACTGTGGATTGTCAATTTGTGTTTGTTCATAATACATCAATTTCATTTAAATCGTAATTCATATGACTCCAGTCCATCAATTAATGTCATGTGAAGTGACGACGATACTGTATGTGTTTGTGAGAATCATATTTTAAACAAGTTGATTCTGGCCTCAATATAAGTCCGTAATTCATAATAATGCTTCCTCCAGTGAAAAAGTCCATCTCCTGTTGTCCGCTCACATCCACCAATGTATTTGTTCAGAACTGTTTTCACTTGTAAACACTGCTTGATCTGTGCATATTTCTCTCCTGATTCAGACGAGAAGACTTTTTCACTGGAGAAAGCAATATTATAAATAGAGGGCTTGTATTTTTAGCTGAAAAAAAAAACAGTTTGTAGTTAAAATTGTCTAAATAACGGACGCAGCTTTTCACTTTTTCACAAATGTTAATTGGTGAACTGGAGTCATGTTGATTAGTTGTTGACTTATTGTGATTGTTTTTATCAGCTTGTTGGATTCTCATTCTGACGGCACCCATTCACTGCAGAGGATCCTTTGGTGAGCAAGTGATGTAATGCTACATTTCTCCAAATCTGTTCTGATGAAGAAAAAAACTTCTACATCTTGGATGGCCTGAGGTTGAGTAAATGTTCAGCACATTTTTATTTTTGGTGAACTATTTCTTTAACAATAGATATGATTAATAAATGCTGTAAAAGCACTGTTCATGTAACAGTGTTGCATTAACTAATGTTAACATATACAGGTGCATCTCAATAAATTAGACTACTTCACACAGACTGAAGTAGTTTAAGTCTTTGGTTCTTTAATTGTGATGAGAAAATTGTAAGTTGTTACCACTAACATATTCTGTTTTGCAGCTCCTTTTTGTCACAAAAGCATTTGAGTTTATGATTTTTTTAGGACTGCTAAGCTGGTTAGTGACTTTTGAGTCATCAGTCAAACTGACAGGACCTCACTAAACCACAAGAGCTTTTTATGGCATCCTGTTCATATGTCAAGTTTAATGTTGTAAAGTGTAAAGCGTATAACTATTTTTGCCAGTGAAAGACATACTGGCATAGTGAATCAAATGGGGCTAATACATAGGAGAAGTAGACATTCAGTTTATCTTAGGGTGACCATACGTGCCATTTTTACGGGACGCGTCCTTGCCAGAATTTCTATATTGCTTAAAATATCCAGGTTTTGACTGTTTCCACTGTGCAGATCGATCATTGTATGACATTCACGAGAGCTATAGAGAGCCGAGCAGATGGCTCCTTATGCTTTCGAATCGCTCTCGCGATACTTTGGTGTCATTCAATGATCGGTGCGCAGCTTTGATCATTCTCCGTTGATCTTACCTTCTCACGAGCCACGATTGGTCGATTATATACAATACCTGCATGTTATTGGTCAAACTACTTTGGATGTTTTAGGCAATATAAAAATCCTGGCCAGGACGTGTCCCGTATGAACAGCACATATGGCCACCCTAGTTTATCTCCTATTTTGTTAATGAGAATCCAAGAGCTCTTCATTTATAGTCTTTACACATTACTACACTTTACTGACATGGGCAGCATGTCTTGTTAAACATTAACAAGACATGCTGCCCATCTGATGTGCACTTCAATGTTAAATACTTTTGAGCTCAAGGGTTTTAACTTTTTTCTGATGCCATAAACACCCAAATATGATGAAACTTTTATTCCTCTTTCTAAAAACATTAGTATAAATATTTGCTTTGACACTGTACCTTTTTGTATCATGCACTGCCATTCAGTTTGGGGTCAGCAGGTTTTTCCAAATGTTTTTGAAAAGAGTCTCACAAAGGCTGCATTTATTTGTCAAAAAATATCAAAAACCTCTTGTTTGAGAACCCCTGTTATACTTCACACATATTTTTTCACGTATCTGAAGTAAAAGAAAAAAAACTAAAGAAAAAAAAAAGACAAATACGTTAAAAGGCCTTCTTTAGTTTGTTTAATGTAAGATTCTCTTTGCTCTTGCATGTCTTACAGCCCTGTTCTATGTACGTAAATATTTATATTTCTTTTTACAGCTAACCAGTACAACAACAATGCAGAAATGATACTTGGAGAGCACTTCTTTCGGATGAGCAGAAGAAACTGTTTTCACTGAATGTACATACAGCACATTTGACATATACTGAACGGTGGTATCAATCCTCGTAGTTACTTATTTCATCACTAAAACTGAAGTCATATTTCACACAGCAGAGGTGATACAACATCTGAAAAGGTTTGCTAGATTAGAAAGAAACTTTGAGAAGCATAATATGGTAATTGTAAACAAAGATGGTATTTACAAGTAAATATCCAGGATGAATGGCACGTCCCAAAAGTTCCCAAAATAATCAAATCGATGCTAAGCTTTCATCCTTATGGTGGTGTTTCGCTGGAGAGGAAGAGAACTAAAATAGATGTGACATTTACCAATTTAAAGGAATTAAAAAAAAAAAACCTGCCAGTGTTTTGACATGATAAAGTGTCGTGTCTATCCAGATGTTCGTTTCCCATACTGTATCATCCAAGCTGCAGCACTGCAAAAAGTCACTGCCACTTTAAGGGAGAATGGAGTTTGTAGGTCCATTCTACAATAAGAGACAGGAGCAGCAGGTTTTGCTGATAAGCCTTCAAAAAAAAAATTCTGTGCACTGCTTGACACTGTTTGAGTACAAGCTGGAGTTTGCAGGCTTTCCTGTGGCATCAGCCTAGAGAAAATAAATTATCATCTGCAGCACCCTAGTATGCAGAAGCTGCGTCAATCTTTCACTGTCAGAAGTGGTTCTTGCATCTCCATGTGCCTATCATCAACCAGGTCTCGCTGTGATGGTAGAAAAAATTGCCACATATAAGAGTCCAGGCGACACCTGTTTGCAGAAAGTTTTTCACAACAGAAGTAATCCTAGATGACCTTCCACTGACGTTCAGATATGTCCATGTTTGTCCGTTATCTCCGATAAGTGACAAAGAAAAGCAAGTGGACCAAGAATAGTTTCATCACACCAAAACACCACAGCGCGCACAGAACCACTTGTGGAAAAAACTCAAAATACAACATTTTTGTATGGTACAGAGGCGGCAGCAGCAGTCCAGCAGCAGGTCTGATCGGTGAGCGGCTATAATATCTGTGGGGCTGTGAGATGCCCAAACTGAAGAACTGAGACCAGAGACAGCAGCAGCACAGTCCAGTCCACCAGACAGGCAGCACTAGTTGAGCTCCGAGCTATTGCATTAAAGCTACTGGGGTCATTCAGCTGCGGATCCTGTGGAGAAAGGTCATGTTTTCATATGGTTAGTCATTCTGATCTTGTTGAGGCAATGCAATTTTCTGGTTGTTTGTTTTTATAGTTGTGTTTAAGCCTAAAAAATGTATAAGCTTTAAAATGTCACAGTTCAGGCAATATGTGCATTTTGAAACAACTTTTTTGTTGTTTTTTTCTTAACGCGAATAGTATGAAAGCCCATTTCCACTTTAGAGTAAAAATAAAAAATAAAAAGCCTTAAAAACATACTGATCGTCAGAAAAAAATTTATAATCAAATTGGCTGTATAAGTCAGTTCAACTTAAATAATATTAAACTAACTCAAAAAAATGAGTTGAATCTAGTATAACTTAAATTAAGTTGAAACTGTTTTTTTTTGATGAGTTAAAGTAATGAAAAAACCTATGTTAACATAATTTTTACAGTGGGATGCAACAACAACAAGACACGTTGCATTGTTCAACAATGTCCACTTATGCATGATTACACAGACAAAAATGTATAGAATGCATCTTGAGTGAACAGCTTCTTATTCATTGGAAAGTCCTATAGGTGAGTAGAAATGTATGGTTCTTACCACACAAAGAACATCCAGAGTAACATTACTTTTCAGTTTCTGAGCCTATAAAGAAAGAGAGAAAGAGGCCAGCTGAAATACAGGCTGAAAAGTCAATTACTTGCAAGAAGCTCTTCAAGGTTTTGTGTTATAAACCATTTCTCACACTGACGCATTTCCATCCAGCAACTTTAAACTGAGTCCAGTGTGATCTAAGTCAAGCACAGCTTCAATAAAGCACTGTAATTCACCACGGCAAATAGAGGTCATATAGTATTGGCCTCAAAGAGAGGTCTTCTGAGTGAGATGTACTGTTATGATAATGAGCCCCACAGCCCACACACAAACACCACACGTACACAGCGCTGTGGCCAAGAGCTCTCTCTCTAAGGTCTTGCTTCTTCTCAAATCAATGTGCTGTGTGTGTGTGTTAATATTGTGTGCAGGAGGCCAGTGTGTCTGCATTAATATGTGACACACCAATACATTTTAATACCCTGTTACATGAGACTCTGCTGTTATCCAGTTTTTTTCACATGCACACACACACACACACATACAGTTGGTTTGTTGGAAGGATAAAGTGATTCCTCAGAGAATCTGGAATATAATAAAGGTGCTGCACAATGGAGAGAGAATGGAGCTAATTCTTGCGAAAAGCATTGTGGGATAGAATGATTAATAACCTTCCTGGAAGTCTATCTGACAAAAGAAACTCTTGTCTACTAATAAATCATAATATTGTTATTACTCCAATATGATGAATTGTTGTGCTATATCTGCGGGAGTGTATCTGGTATTCTGTATTTGAACTGTATTATGAGCTGCAGATTTGGGGGGGGGGGGGAATTTTCCAAGTTAAATACAAGTTAAGCTTTATCAATACCATCTGTAGCATGCTGTCAGTTATCGAAGAAAATAACTAAAGAAAGTGCTTCAGAGGTCTAAAATATGATTTTTATTTGTATTTTCTTTTTGTTTATATAAACTTACAATCATCCTTAGGGGGGAAAATTAGGTGGATCTTTATAAGGCTGTAAACCAAGTTTAACTAATATTAAACATTAACAACTCAGTATCCAATTGTGTGAACAATTTATTGGGTGAAAAACTTAATTTTTGGTCTTATAAAATAAATGCTTCACACAACTGGAGACTTGAGTGTGTTTTTTTCTCCCTATCATTTCAGTATTCTTTTATTATTTTATTTTATTATTTTTTGTGCATGTGTGTGTGTTTTCTTTCAGGATTTGTCCTTATAATTTTGGTGTTGATTATTTCCTTTTTAGAGATTTTCCCTTTTTTAAGCCAAGGTAGCAATTTTCTATTTTAAAAAAAATCGGTGAAAGACAACAGCACAAATACGTAAGAACTATGGTGCTTTTAATGGTGAAGATTATGGTGCTGTACTGTGCACTTGCCCCATAGACTTACATTGTAAGTGCATCATTTTCCTTTTTTTTTTTCTTTTTGTTTTTTTTTACAACAATGGACGAGTCACAAATTATGTTTTAGTCAACAGCTTATGCTCCACAGAGTATATTTAACATGGAATATTCCTCTGAAGATGTTTATCTGTGTGTATGCCAGTCGTTTTAGAGGCCGCGTGTGTGCCAGTCTTGAAGTTATATTTGCAGATGATTTGTGAAGATATGTCTCCCTCAGAGAGATTGTAATGGGTGGGTATATCCTGCTTAAGGGTGTTCCTCATGTTAATGTGCCAGCCAATTAGCTCTGACATGACAGCTCTGGCAGTTTGATGCATCTCATTTCTACCCAGAGGCCCTATGTGTGTGTTATCACCGCAACAGCCCCCACCCATCAATCAAAAGTAAAGCCTCATCTCACTCTGAGACTCGAAAAATCGTATCGTCATCGTATGCCTAGCAAAGCCTGAAAGCATCCAAACAAACTGCCGGCTGTTTGTAAAGTTGACGTAGGCTGTGCATCTTTAACCATCTGTGTGGGCCAACAGCGACATGTGTCTGACTGACAGCTGCCGTTCACCATCAGAGATAGTCAATATGGTGGTTTAAAAGGCGATTAGATTGGGTGTCCGGGCGACATTTTACACAGCTTTTTTTCACTGCACTTTCCTAATCAACATAAAAGATTTATTTCTGGTGACTTTCAGAACCTAAGATGTGACTTTCAAATAATTTCTTTAAATACAACACGCTGTTTTCTTTCAGTACCTGCAGACTTCCGCAGAAGCTGTAGAGATGGTCTGCATTACTGTCCAGGTCATTGGTAAGTGCTGGGTCATTCAGTGCATTGGATGTCCTGTCCAGTCCTCTCTGTGGAGTGTAAGGGTCAGGTGGAGTGGACATGATGGGTGGCTGGGGTTGCCACACACCAACATCTGTGCCATTACCAAATGCCTGGATGGCATTGCCTGCATAATGCAGAAATAAAAAGAAAAAAAATGTAATCATGGTAGGGCAAAATTCAGTATATAAGAACTGGCAACACAGAATTGGAATTTGAATTGATTCAGCCACGCCCCAAGGAAGTTGAATTGGAATTTAAAGGAAATTGAAATCATCAATTTTGACTAAAATAAAAAAAAAAATCTCATTATTGTCAAAACAATTAACACAGATTGGATCAGTTTTTAGTTTTGCCATACAGAGTTACAAAATGTCCACCGCTGTGGACCATTTCAGATCAAGATTAGTTTTGAAGATTTTGAGATTTCACTGCTTTCTGCTTTTTTTATTATTGAAATTTATATTACAATTTTGTAATCTGTTTGCCACCTCAATTCCTATTCTGAAACAGTGGTATTTTAATATAATTTTATATTATTATAGTATTTATTAATATTTTGAAATAGTGTTTATATTTATATTTTCAGTTTTCATTTTATTTTAGTAAAAAAAACTTATTTTATTTCACATTTCAATTGACATTTCAAGGTTAAATTCTTAAGCTTATTTTATTTTAGCTTTATTTCAATATTGTTTTAGTTAACAATTACAACACTGTTCTGGAGTTTAATTTTCAAAAGGCATTCTCAATTCAGCCCTGTTTAAAATACAGTTGACACTGACATGTCGCTATCGAATTTGTGGCCTATTTTGATATTAAGAGCTTCTCTCTTCATCTCTTAATACTAAAGCAGATGAACTCTGATAAAGAGGCACTTAGCCTCTGTGTGTAAGTGCAGTAAGACCTTCACTTACTTACTAAGTTTCTGTGTTCTTTCCGGTGATAAAACGGGGGAGGCCATTATGATTCAACTGTATTTTTTAAATGACTTTATTCTCGAGAGCACTTTTGACTTTAGAGTCTGTTATTTACCTCTTGCCACAGAAATTAGAGGGCAAGAGAGGATTATTGATGGGTACTCAGGTAAAGAATAAGCTGCATGTGTATTAAGTACCATCTACTGACAGAGAAGAGGGTAGGCTGACCTTATTATTGAGTGAGGGTTGGATTTCCTTTAAGGCCGTGCAAGCTCATTCTGTTTCTTAAGGGTTAAAGACTAATAAAGCCACATTTTCCATTATTGTATTATTGCATTGCTCTCATAAGAACAGATGCATATTCTAAGCATAATTCTGGATAGATTATATAGATTTAAAGGCTTAAAGGACCGATTTCCTAACGAGAAGAATAACAAAGTGCAATAAACAGTAAAATTGTTTGTGCTACAAACCAGTGTGTTTATAATTAAGACAATACATTCAAATAATACGGTAAGAAACACCAGTTTGCAATATCAAGCAAGCAAAAAGAGCTGTTTTGTTCAGCTAAAAATAGCTGGAGGCAGATGACACCGGAAGCCAGACTCATTAAATTGACCAATGGCCGCACCCACTCTTACACTCTTAGACAAGCTAATATTCTTTCTCTTGCTCTCTCTCACACATCTTTAGTTGCTGTGGTCTTATTGGTTCATTATTAGATGGGCATCAAAAAAGTGGCCAGATTCAGAGGCTAAAGAGGCAAGTAATAGACCGCTGGATTAATTACATCTGATTTGTTAGGAAAGTAACTTAATATGTTAAAAACTATGTGATGTTTTTCATCACTTAACCTAATATGATAATAGAGGCTTACTTTTTGTATTTGATTTTTTTTTTGTTCACTCAGAAAAGAAAATTCTGTCATTATTTACTCTCATGTCGGTCTAAACCTCTATGACTTTCTTTAAGACAAAAAAAAAAAAAAAAGACAGACTTCCTGGGCAAGAAAGTTAAAAGTTACAATTTTTAAAACATTTTTCAAAACATCTATTTTGTGTTCCACATAAGCAAGAAAGAAATACAGGTTTGGAATGACATAAGGATTAATACATTATAACAGAATTTTCATTTTTGGGTGAACCATCCCATGAACACTCATGGTGTATAAAAAGTATTGGTACTTCAGTACCATGTCAAAAACCTGCACTAACTACTAAATGAACATAAACAAAACACAAGTGATGTGTGCATTAGGTCTAAATGCATTCTAATACTGTAGACCTGCCGCTGTCTATAATGTCAGTAATGGGCCCACAGTCATATACAAATAATGGCATATGTTCATTACAAACAAGAAAGAGCTAAGAAAACATTTAGCTGATTCTGAAAAATGCTGTTTGAACTTCATGTTGGACAGTCTTTTCACTTTTCTTCCACCTCTCTCTCTATAGGTAAACACAAAAGATGAGAATGTGTCAGTTATGAGGTGTGGATGTGGCGTGACTTGTGTTGGTACTGCTATTCCATCTGGGCTGTCATCCTAAAGGCCATTGTCTCATGTAGACAAATCCTCCCTCTCATCTGCTCCCTGTCTATCTCCCTGCTTCTGGTTCATCTAAATGGATGTTTTTGAATAACTCCCTGACAAAATAATGCATGCTTTCCCTACTCTTCCAGGCCCATGGACACCTGAGTAATGCTTTATTGCCTCAGCTGGCCCATTTAAGAGGGATTTCTCTGTCTCTCTGCCGTCAAACTGCCCTGAACCACACAGCAACACAAATCGCAGAGATCAGATTTACTGGTGCAGACTGTGAATGATCACAAACACGCAACAGAGCAGAATTCAGCTTTAGAGTCAATCTTGATGGGCAAATTCTGTCAGACATCACAGAACGCCATGTGACCAATGATATAGAGTAGCACAACAGCAGCTGTGAATGAAGTCTACTCACGTAGACAACGGTTGTTGGTGAAGAACTCTGTGAACTTGTCACACTCTGCTTTTCCGTTTCCACTGTTGCTGCAGTCACACCAAGGTGACACGCTAATAATACCAGGGGCACGAAGGTAGTTCGGAGTCATCACCGTACCTGTGTAACACATAGCAAGGAGCAAAGTTCAAAGGTCACATATGTTGAAAACAACAAGACAACAAGACAGTTGCTGTGTCTCAAAACCAAGCAAGCAGCCATTATAGACAGCATCAGGGATCATTAGGGTAGAAAACATTCCTGATCAAAAAAAGCCTGCTGGATATATATATATATATATATATATATATATATATATATATATATATATATATATATATATATATATAATGCCTTAACATTACGTTAAGTAGATTTGTAGTCCATGTACAATCATAAGTAGAATACACAGTGGACACTTAAAAGTATCATTAGATACCAAATATTAAGCCAAGTGGCTTTTTCAAATAAATATTTTCTCAGGACTACCTTTACGGTTCTAAGCATGTTTGCTATGACTTTTATTATTATTATTATCCCAAGGTAATTTAATGGATGTATGAGGCCAGTTACAAATGCTACATATAGTTCATCACATTACCTATGGACATGATTCATCTGAAAACCAGAATATGTCCATATACTGTAATTATTGGTTTTAGTTTTTGAATGTTATTGATTTATTTTTTGTTTTTGTTTTGTTAATACACTACTATTCAACAGGGCTGGGGTCAGTGAGATTTTTTTGAAAGTAAATACTTTTATTCAGCAAGGATGCATTAAATTGATCAAAAGTGACAGTAAATGCATTTATAATGTTACAAAAGATTTCTATGTCAAATAAATGCTTTTCACTTAAACTTTCTATGCATCAAACACGTTTTTTGGACATTTACCATTGTACAACCATGTTTTTCTGTACATTTACCATAGTAGTATTTTTGAAATTAGCTCTGATTCATGGCACTCTATGGTACTATGGTAATGACATGAAACATGTCCAAAAATCATAGCACATGAATTTCAGTACCATGGTATAAAGTACCCTATAATGTACTGTACTGCCACAATACTTTTTTTGGCAAGGTATGGCACATCAAATTTATTGGCTTGAGTTAACTCACCAATAAGACCTGAATATGCCAGCAGACAGTTGGCATAGTTTTCTTTTAGACACCCAGAAATCGAGCGCGCCTCAGGTTGACAGTTGGTAAGGAAGTCAGCTAAACGAGATCTGAAAACAATTAAGCAGGAATGAACAAGAATCCACACGGCACATCTCCTCATTAAACAGACTCAGCCAGCACACAAGTGACAGTCCGGCAGTCTTACAACTATTGTCATCTCTTCTCAGACATCATCCACCCCACAGAATAAATAATTAACTTGTACTGAACAGTACAGTGAGCATTCCAACCCTTTCCTCCTTACTCTGTGACACGTAACACAAGGTGTCTTTTATTGTACCTGCAGATGTAGTTGGTCTTGCAGGAGGCTTGTAAGGAGAGACAGTTGGGTTTGTCCTTGTCCTCGTAGGAGCAGGCTGGCACGATGGTCTGACGTCTGCGCTCAGAGCAAGCCGTGTGATCCCCAGTGGGGCAGGAGCAGAAAAGCATGCCATAGCTATGCTTCGGTGGCACCTTGTCGAAGAACTGCCGCAGGGCCTTGTGGCATTTGCGCTTGTTACACACCTCAGTGGTTGAGACTCTACTGGTACAAGGGCTGATGTAGAAGGAGCGGTATTTCTTACACGTGTCATTCAGGTTGCAGGCCTTGGCGGCGTTCAGGCAGTTGTTGTCCTTCGTAAAGGCCGCCTCACCTATGCAGGCAGACATTTAGAAGGAGAGTTAGGAACACTACTGGCTGAATTTACTGATGCAAGTGCTGTAAATGTCAAAGAACACTTGCTGAGAGTGGGGCAACTGTTGACCTTTTAGGACTCTCTGTGAACGTCCTCTGCTGAGGTCATCCCGTATGGCATTCACAGGAACTAGAGGCCATACAGTATGTCAGCCAGTAGTGGTCTGTGTGAGAGTAACTATACTAATTGACATATTTAGGAAAATGGCAGAATTCCAAGTATATTTGAAGATGAAGTGTGTAAAATACGGTCTCCTGTCCCAGCTTGGTTATGGAGAGACAACTGTAAGTAAGCCATTTGTAGGTTAATTGAACACTTTGTTTCTGTTGCACTTTCAAAGTATTACTTCTGTTTGTTTGAGCTTCCACACACAGCAACAGTGGCTCAACCAATGGTGTGAGTTTGGGGCGGGGCTATCTTTTTGACCAGCCAATGGCAGACTGTTTGGAAAACCATTTTTAGAATATATATACACACTATCATTCAAAGTTTTGGCTCAGTAAGATTTTTAATGTTTATGAAAGAAGTCTGTTATCCTCACCAAGGCTGCATTTATTTGATCAAAAACAGAGTAAAGCAGCAATAATATGAAGTAGTATTACAATTTAAAATAACTGTTTTCTATTGTAATATATTTTAAAATGTAATTTATTCTCGTGATGGCAAAGCTGGACTTTTATTAGCCATTACTCCAGTCTTCAGCGTCAAAATGATAAATCAAAAATCCTTTTAATATGGTGCTCAAGAAACATTTTGAAATTAAATTTTTTTTAAACATTTTGACATTTGAACATTTTTTGTTCAAAACTTTACTGTCACTACTGGACAATTTAATGTATCCTTGTTTAATAAATTAAAAAATAAATAAATAAAAAAACTGACTCCAAACATTAGTTTATGTATTACAAAATATTTCTAGATAATTTGTTCACATAGTTCATTCTCAACACCAGTTCAGTCTAGTGTGTCTGAAAATAAAATCACATGAACGCTATTTTTTCTCATTTATTTTTGTTTCTCAATTTCTTCAACGGATCCCACACAAAATGCCTCAAGCATACCTAGACTCAATTTCCAGCCCCTTTTCATGAATGTCCCACAAGAACTGACATCCTGCAGAGTGTTGCAATTAGATAATCACCAGGTTTAAAATAGGTTTTATTTGTTTAACATTTGCATCTTTTGCCTGAAGAACTTCTCTCTGCTGCTTGTACTGTCACACTTTTCCTTTTGTTTCCCTCCTCGCGATCTTCACAGCATTTGCGTCTCTTGAACAAACAACCTCAGGTGAATGTTTCGCTTTCACTCACATGGATAAATTCACAACCCTGAAAACTCTGTTTGCCCTTTCTCTCTCTTTTCTAAGCAGTCTTTTAGCTTTAATGCACATTAATGCTATTAGAACACATACACTATCAGACTATTTCAGAGCCATGCAAAAAGAAAGAACGTTAGCATGTACTGTATATTGTGCTGAGCATTATCAAAAATAGCTTTGATGATAAAGGATGACATAAGGTTTATTTTGCAATAATGATCATCTGAATGTGGATTATACTGTCAAGTTTATGACTATCTATCAAATAAAAAAATAAATAAAAAAAGGCATGAAATATTTATTAAGTTATTTTATTAGGCTGATAAGAAAGAGACGTGGTTGCCAGGGACAAAGGTCAGTTATAACTTTGGCAATATATTTAATACATAGTTGTATAATATAAAATATATGATGAAAGACTGACCAATCAGAATCAAGTATGCAGTGAGCCATGTAATAAGTGAGGATATTCTTCTTTACCTAATGATGACTCAATCTTTTCTCGGCTTCCCGCTTCAGTAACTCAACTTTTTTTTCGTTGCGCTGCAGCTCTTGCATGTGCATGGAACGCTGCATTTTGCAATTATGTGTTTTGATGAGGAATTTGTGCTTATTGTGGGCTTTCGTGACTAGATATGATTAAATTTGAAAGCAGCCTTGATCCTTGAGGTTAATCACCTATTACAAAAACCATTACTTACGTTTGCCAAGCACATTGACATGAGGCTCAAGGTTACTGGAGGGATGTTTAAATGTTGATTAGACGTTGCAGTCATGTGGACAGGTTCTGCAACATGTCAGAGTCTATAAAACAAACCCATATCTCCTTGTGATACACTGATCCTGAGCCGCATTTTTTAAACATAATGCAATATTAATTTATTATAGTACATCATTAAAATAACTCGCGGCCACTTTAGAGCACATTTATTATTATTGTTATTAGTAGTAGTAGTAGTTAGCAGATGCCATTTGATTTGATATTCTTGTTTAAAGGAATTGTTCAGAACAGATTTGGAGAAATGTAGCATTACATCACTTGCTCACCAATGGACCCTCTGCAGTGAATGGGTGCCGTCAGAGTAAGACACCTGATAAAAACATCATAATAATCTACAAGAGTCCAGTCCATCTATTAAAATCTTGTAAAGTGAAAAGCTGCATGTTTGTAAGAAACCAATACATCATTAAGGTATTTTAACTTTAAACCATCGGTTACACTTTATTTCGATAGTCCACTTTAGACATTCTGCTAACTCGTAACTTTCTATCAATTAATGAAAGTGCCGTTGCAGCAGAATGAGAGTTTGTTACAAGATGAACCCTGTCTGACCATCTCTGGGCCCTTTAATAAAGAGAAAACTGCTAGTTAAACAAACACTATGAGCTCTATGTAAAAGACTATCAGCTTAAACTGTTGTCCAGGGATGTTTAATAGCCCTCTGAAGTGATGCCTGCCAATGGCTGACCTCTGGAGTGCGCTTTAAGGGATTTAGAGACTGAGCCATTAATAAATTGAGAATGAAAGAATGATGCATGAGGAGTGTAAAATGAACACTCACTGTGTGCCAAATGCATGTCAGATTGCCTTTGGCAGTTAAATAATATGAAGATACTCGTCAGTCTGCCAGACATGATTTAACCTGAATTCAAAGAAGGACCATCTGACCTTGACAGATGTGAGAGTTTCGAGTCAAAGCCATATACATATAGCTGTTGCAACTATAATGTCCTGTAACAATTTTTATCTTCACAGGATTATCTAGGATGCTTAAAGTGAGAATGACATGTGCTGTTATAAACATGCAAGTGAAAAAATCGCTAAATAATACCACTGTCGTAGGGACAACAGTATTTTATAATGATAAAATAATAACTGAATTTTTATTAATATTATTATTAGTAGTAGTAACAATAGTAGTAGTAGTAGTAACAATAATAGTAGTAGTAGTAACAATGCAAACTAATTTTTATTTTGATGTGAGAGAGTCAAATCAAAGAAAAAACTAAATACCACAGGGACAAAAATATTTTACAATAATATTAATAATAATAATGAGGATGATGCAAAATACTTTTTTATTTTATTATTATTATTATTAAATATTTCTTGTCATTTTAAGCTATTTTTAGTAAACTTGTAATAAAACATGTCATTGTCACTGTATAATTTCAAGTCTTGTAAAAAAAAAAAATTTGAATTCGTCTGTCGTTGGGAGGTAAATTCATTTTAGACCCTGCATTCATCTTTTTGTGCCACACCTCCCTTTGTCCACTGACAAACTTTACAATATAGTTAAAAGCAGCACAGTAACATTCAATATTGCTCCAAATCAGACTTGTTTGGACATGAACATAGAAGATTTTCCTTAAAAAGAACTTGAATGGCTAAGGAAAATGAGCTAAAGTGAGCTACAGATATATAATATGTGGTTAATCCACTGATGAATGCAGGCATAGTCTTGCAGGAGGGGGTGGTTGCTTTCCCCTCCCATTTACATTCCCACAATATTGGACTCAGGAAATGGTAACTATAGGCTTCATACATCACAAACACTGAAGCACACATCCACATCAGGGGATCAGTCTTTATAGGGACTGACAGCATAGAACTGTCAACTCAGCCCATTAGAATAAAGGATTTCCTCTTCCTCTCGCTAGGCTTCTCTCCAAAATCCACTCCAAAAGATTTATATTATATATGTTTGACAGCCAATACACACTCAGTCTATTCAGTCTATACTCTTCTGCTGTGTAGGTGTTTGAGTCTTTCTGTCTGTGTGTGTGTGTCTTTCTGTGTGTGTGTGTGTGTGTGTGTGTGTGTCATTGCATTTCCTTAAAGGGTTAGTTCTCCAAAAATGAAAATTCTGTCATTAATTACTCACCCTCGTGTTGTTTGAAACCCGTAAGACCTTTGTTCATCTTCAGAACACAATTTAAGATATTGTTGATGAAATATGAGGTTTCTCTGACCTTCCCATAGACAGCAAGGTAACTACCAGGATCAAGGGCCAGAAAAGTACCAAGTTGATCGACAAAGTAGTCCGTGTGACATCAGTGGTTCAACTGTAAAGTTACGAAGCTACGAGAATACTTTTTTGCGCAAAGAAAACAAAAATAACGACTTCATTCCACATTTTCGTCTCTACTGCGTCACTTTGGACACGTGTTCACGACAGTACCATGTGGCGGCGCTGACCCAGATGCGGCGTGATGACGTCTTTGTCGATCATCTTGGTACTTTTCTGAACATTGAACATGGTAGTTACCTTGCTGTCTATGGGAGGGTCAGAGAGCCCTCATATTTCATCAAAAATATCTTCAATTGTGTTCCGAAGATGAACAAAGGTCTTACAGGTTTGGAACAACACGAGGGTGAGTAATTAATGACAGAATTTTCATTTTTGAGTGAACTAACCCTTTAATCTCAGCGGTGACAGATGACGTGACTTTAGGTGACCTGGAATGCTACGGTCATGCAAGCTCACACAGTACTGCAGTGCAAGCACTTTATGATCAGTTTTATGATAAAAAAAAAACATAGGCAGCAGTGTCGTTTACAGATACAGCATCAGATATCAACAGCATTTGATGTGAAAATATGAACAGTTATGCTGTATTACACAGCACACTGCTTTTG